ATGCGCGCGAGACACGAATTTCAAAAGGTAAAGCAGAGAAGAGTGATTTTCCGATTTTAAATACAGAAGACGATTTCATTTCAGTCCCTTAGTATTATTTGGGGATTCCCGGAAACAAACTCTTCGTAATTACCAATATTTACCATTATTTTGAATTATTTCGCTTTTGGCACTGAACTTTTTACCTGTAGTAGTATTCTTCACAAAATACAATGAATGTAGAGTCCGGAAATGGGAACTCTTTATTGCCTAGACGAAGAAGAATTCAAGAGAAAGAGTAGTACGAATGTATGCTCTTTAGATAACCAAGTACATGTGAAGGAGCCATAGTTATATATCCAAAAATCGAAATAGCCAAGCGAAAAACCAAATAATAAAACCTCAAAATCTAGTGCCCTTCGAGGCGAATAGTGTCAGTTTTCTGCAGAAGACTCATCTGGATTCTGAACAATATCACGAATGAAGTTTATTAAAGAACAGAGTCCACCCAAGAAGTTATGGTCAATGACGCCATTACCGTCATGAACATGAGCGAAATCAACCAGCTTGACTTGTGCTTGAACATCATCAACGTCTCCCTTTAAAATGGAATCATTCTCATATACCATTAGAATCGAACAAGAATTGAAATGGTAGAACGTTTGGTTCTCAAACCATGTCTTGAGCTCCAACAATTGTGTTAAGATCCCTTTGGAACCGCCATAAACGCTGGATACAAAAGCAGAGTCAGGTTTTGAACTGGTGTTAGAAAGTGTGTTTGACGATACAAACTTCCGCAGAGCCAATCTGACTCCATCGACTTTAATCCCGTTAAGAAGCTTCCTGTTAGGCTTCCAGAAACTCAATTCTTTGTGATCATACACCTCGAAACCAGAGATCCTGAAACCCGAAGACACGGTGGTTGTTCCTTTGTCTTTCCTCAAGCATTTTTGGATGTATTCTTCAGATGCTTCAGGGTACCATGTTCTTGAACCCATCTTAACATCCATTACTGATGGCTTTGAGTACTTTGAAAGAAGATTTTCGAGAACAATCATGGCTGCTCCATCAGAACCATCAACCGCTTGAGTGCCGTGATACTCTGGGAAATACCTACGGATGTTATCTGGAACCTGTGTGTTTGACGAGAATGATTCGTAGAACATCACCTCGATTTCACCACGAGAATCGCCCTGAAGCGGCTTGAAGAACCGACCCTTGTCATCGACGAGGGGACCAGGCTTCCCGTCTTTAGCAATGTGTCCTGCAACTTGATGTTCAGGAGCCTTGAGATGCATCTTGGTAAGGAGAATGATAAACCTGAAGATCAAGAAACACATAAATCACTCACAAACCCACACACGCCAAGAACACAAGTATATAACAAGAATCAGAAAACCAGAAGTATAGAGATGTGTGTGGTAAGGATCACATCGAGTTGTGAAAAACTTATACAAACTTAGCAATGCCTTAACAAGATGAAGCTAATCTCTCAAAGTCATAAGATAACAATACTGAAACAATCAAGTGGTGCAAAACCAATAACAAGTATGAATCAATGAACCTAATATCTAGCTAAGCAACTCTGCAAATCAATCACTATTTCACACATTATCTCCAAAATAGTAAAATCTAGAGCTAATAAAGGTAATTTGTTGAGTTAAATTGGTTTATAAGAACATAAATGAGATTCCATCACAATCATACATAATTTTCCCAGGAATATTCTAATCTAACCAAAGGAAAATTCTGAATCAACAATCCGCCGATCGAATACCTCTGTCATCCCAAGAAATTAGATTAGGATTCTCCAATTCTCTTTGACATTTGT